TTTAAACTTGTTTTCTTAGTTTATAGTATGGATTGAGAGGCTTCAATAACACCGGAGCCCTACAGTGCTTGATGCTGCACATACACATAACAAAAGACCCTCTGTGTTAAGAACTTATCACCCAAATAGAAACAACAGACAAAAGCCAAGGGGAAAAAAAGTTGCATTATTAAACTTATCTTGCCAGTGGAAAAGAGAGAGACAGAAAAAGTAAGTGACCTGTCTGTAATCACATAAAAAGTCCATGGCAGAGATTGGAATTTTATCCCAGACATCCTGAATCCTAGTTCATTCCTACAAATCAACAGGGAAAAAGTTAATTGGGAGCACCAGTGGACCTAGACCCCATGGCACCCTATGCCTCCTGGCTCACCAGTCAGGAGGCAGAAGTACAACATGCAACAGAAGGATATCAAATGGAGTGCCCCAGGGGTCAGTCCTGGGGCCGGTTTTGTTCAGTATCTTCATCAACCTAGAAGATGGGATGGAGTGCACCCTCAGCAAGTCTGCAGATGACCCCAGCCTGGGGGAAGTAGTAGATAGACTGGAGTGTAGGGCTAGGATTCAGAAAGACGTAGAAAAATAGGAGGAATGGACCAAAAGAAATCTCATGAGGTTCAATAAGGACAAGTGTAAAGTCCTGCACTTATGATGCAACAATCCCATGCACCAATTCAGGCTAGGGATTGACTAAGCAGCATCTCTGCAGAAAAGGACCTGGGGGTTACAGCAGACAATAAACTAAATACGAGCCAGCAGTGCACCCTTGTTACGAAGAAGGCTAACAGCATATTGGGCCGCATTAGCAGGAGCCTTGCCAGCAGATCGAGGAAAGTGATTCTTCCCCTCTATTCAGCACTGGTAAGGCCACATCTGGAGTACTGTGTCCAGTTTTGGGCCCCCTGCTACGGAAAGGATGTGGACAAATTGAAGAGAGTCCAGCGGAGGGCAATAAAAATGGTGTGGGGGGCTGGGGGACATGACTTATGAGGAGATGCTGAGGGAACTGAGCTTATTTAGCTTGGAGAAGAGAAGACTGAGGGGGCATTTAATAGAAGCCTTCAGCTACCTAAAGGGTAGCTCCAAGGAGGATGGAGCTAGGCTGTTCTCAGTGGTGAGAGGTGATAGAACAAGAATCAATGGGTCTCAAGTTGCAGCAAGGGAAGTTTAGGAAAAACTTTCTTACCAGGAGGATAGTAAAAGCAGTGGAACAGGTCACTCAGAGGGGTTGTGGACTCTCCATCCTTGGAGACTGGGCTGGACAAAACCTTGGAGGGGGTTGATGTAGTTGGGGGTAGTCCTGCTTTGAGCAGGGGGTTAGACTAGATGACCTCCTGAGGTCCATTTGAAACCTAATTTTCTACGATAAAAAGGAAGCTGCACACAGTCTGAAGTGATCTTTAAGGCTGTGAAGATTTCTGTGACTAGAAGAGAGTTCTTGGATTGTGCAGAGCTTAATGATTGGGTAGGGAAGTTTTAGGGTCTGAGAGACAGCTCCACAATTGTGAGGAGCCCCAAAAATACTAGAAGCATGGTCAGTGAGCCAGCCTGGGAGATGGTAATGATTGCACAGAAATTAAATAGGAAGAACCCCTGGGTTCAATGAGATCTATCAAAACTTAATCTTAGGACCCTGTGATGGGACTCAGTGGAGCACAAGGATCTGAGCCCCACTACCTCCAGATGCTTTGCATCTTCTAATGGATATCCATCGGTTGGGGCTTAAACATAATAATAAACTGGAACTGAACAGGGAACTTAGACCATCAGCAGTACAGTAGGAAGTGATATTGGACAACAAACACCTGTGACCTACCAATCCCCATGATGTAGGGAACTCCTGACACACATGAAATCCAATGTAATTAGTACATGACAAACCTTTTACACTGCCTAGAAGTGTCTCCTTGGAAAATCCTTGTAGCTCATTGTTCCTGTCAAAGCAGATGACGTGTTTATAAATGTCACCCAACAGACATCATCACAGAATCATCACCAGCACTTAAAAAGAGAGAAAAAGAACTCAAACACCAAGGAGTAACTGCCAAACGTTTCAGCAGAACACAAAGTAATGGCAAAAATGAACCCCAGTTTACCATTTAACTCTGGCTCAAAAATAATGGCCGATTCTACACAGTAGGCTAAAGGAACAGTTCCACTCGAAGGAAAGAATAACAGGTATAGAAGCACTGTAGATTTGGACATATGTCTAACCCCATCCAATCATCAGGTTCATTGAGTTGTTGCTGTAGCATTACAGCTTGTCTTTTTTAAATATATATTCTGGTTATTTTTCTTTACAAGACTCCCAACAAGCATACAAATGAATTTTTACCAGATATATTTTAGTAATTTCATTGCAGTAGACAAGAAATATTCTATTTTCATATAGTTTCTAACAAATTATATCAGTCAACTAAACAAAGTTTTCTGCCTTTTCATTTATTAAATTTTCCTGCAATGTTATTTATATATTAATGTAACTGTACACAGCACTTTGCAATAGGCTGAGTATGTTAGCAAAAGCACAGAGTCCTGTCCCACAATATTTATGGCCAAGACTACATGGACACAGTTGCCCTGGGGCAGGGAATCTTGAGGCATCTATGGGGTATCTTTTGAAGAAACTTCCTTGCTGTGGGAAGAAATTACCCTGAATTTGAATCCATAACATTTTGCAGGTTAGGGGAAGATTTATCTCAATTCAAGGGGCTATGTCAAACAATCACAGTGTGTCTTTTTGGGGGGAGAAGGGAAAATGGGTGTTTTCCTATGATACTCTGTACATGTGCTACAGCCTAAAAAAACAAAACACAACAAAACAGACAGGTAGCAAATACCATTCAAATTTCAAGTATTTCCTCAAACATGGGGGGATTACAGGAATGCTTAAACAGGGAAGGATGTTCATCAATATCCTAACTAGATCATCATCCTAAACATGATAACCCTTCACATTTTTTTAAAACAAATTCTGTACTAGTGGTCTTGATTTCCTGTGTTAATTCTTGTTACACAAAGGGAAAGAATGGCATGAGCAGGAAAAATATAGAATCCTGCCCACTGCCCAAAGATAGAAAAATTCTCCAGATTAGGAATGAGGCCTATTAGGACAAGAAAACAATTCACTTTCCATAACTAGATTTCAATTCTGTAAGATGCTGAGCACCTCAGGCTCCCACAGAAATAAACAACATGTGAGGGCACTTAAGTCTCTTTCTCCATCTGATGGGGACAGATGGAACAGAAATACATCTCCAGTAGGAACTAGACCCACCTTTGCCAGACCTCCGAATAACCATCAGATTTGGCTTTGAATCATTGTTTACTAAAGATACATTTGACCATTGATCAAAAGTGGAAAGTTCTGCATTTCATTAAAAAACAACAACAAATTCTGAATCATCCAGTCTCCCGTATGAGACATGCTTTGTTTTTATATTTAATAGTTTCAGTAACTATGCAATATGAAACTTCTTCAATCCAGTCTTCAAGTGTGGGTGGGTATGAATATTTCCAGCTCCTAGTAATGAAGAGTTTGGCACAGGCTCATGCAACAAGCACAGGGTTGTTAGTAATACTCTAAAAAAACTGACTACAAATTCGTTATTTGTTGAACTCCAAAATGTAGTACTACTGAGGTTACTTTTGTTTCCCACATCTGAATATGACAGTGAGATTTTGTGGGGTTACGCCAGGTATCACTCAACCTCAGGCTGAAAAAACTGTCATGAAATTAATCTGTACTTCATTTCATTTTAAAAAAGAACTAGATTACACAAAGAAAAAAACCACTCAGTGTGTGCAGTGATATAACAAGAGGAGTAGGTGCCTGGGGCAAACCCTGTGGGAGTGCTGCAGGGAACGTGGGTTGAGACCAGGGATGGGAGGCAAGGGAGAGAAGGAGTTCAAAGACTGTGGAAGGGGAGTGGGTGGTTCTGAGAGGGGGTGAAGGGCTGGTGCAGCAGTCCTACCCATGTCAGGAACTCCTAAACAGTCCCTGGCTGAGGAGCTGCTGCTCCCACTGCCACTGCCACATGCTCTGCCTACCCTGGCTGTTGCTCTTCCAGCATCCCTCCTAACCTATCACCTTGAGGGCTTGCTCCTCTCACACACCTCTAGTTACACTACTGAGTTTGAGTTCCTTTCCCAGTCCAATAAGGGTTACAGTTACTGAGTAATTACACAAGGCAGTTGAAGACTTAAAGGTTGTTTTTATTTTACTGTGCAACTTTCTTTTCAAAAAGAAAATATTCACATTTATTTCTGAACTGGTTGCCTCTGGCTGGCTACTGGAGTGCATGAAATAAGTGGTGGATGCCTCCTCCAGCCCTTCTGCAGAATGAAACTGGATGCTTCTGTATTCCTGGTGTCCTTGAACACTATCTATGTCCCAACACATGTATTTGCCTCCTTTCACTCTTCTAGGACTAGGAGAATAGTCCCGATTGGAAACCACTCTCCAGTACAGAGGGCATATGGAATGCTTCTACTGGGGTTCTCCATTGACTATGGCATTAATTCATTAATATTCCTCTTACATTAAGGCAGCATAGAAACATAAATACATTTTAGGTTTTGGATCCTATTTAAATAACAACTTAGGTTGCTATTGTCTTTGAACAGTATATAAATTAACTCTGTACTGTTACGTCTCAGCTCTGTATTCTTGGGCAATTGGGGCACAGGATACAGTCTGTCTGACTCACAAAGGACTCACCCCCCCCTCCTCTACCTAAACGAAACTGATTAAGATGCAGTGAGAGACGCACCTAAGACCCTCACCAGATAAGGGTTACAAGAGTGAATCAACTGCCCTAGGTCTCATTTACGTGAGAGATGGAAAACAGAAAGCCTGAAGCAGAGGCTGCAGTGAATTCTGGGACCAGAGAAGCAGGAGAGCGCTGCATGATGGGGAATCTGTGCTTCCAATGTTAATCAACCCATGTTCACACACACCCAGCTCAGCATTTATCAGGCCAGTTCTAATCTGAATTGACTAAGGACTTTTCCCCCCCAGACACACACACACAGCTCTAAGTTTAATAGGCATCTCGGGCCGTACATTCCCCGGTCCCACTATGGGAGGCCTATTTAAACTTGATTGACTAAAACTCGGTTGCCGGGTTAGGGAATGCTGAGGCAAGAGACCAAGTCAGAGGGGGTATGGGCAACATTTGAACAATGGTTAAGGGTTCATCACAGCATCCAGCCTGCTGGAGCCCTAATCCCAGGTGTTGTCATATCTTTCCCGAGACGACTGGTGGGAGTCCTCTCCACAAAAGGTTATGAGCACCCCAATAATTGCTTTAAGTCTGTTAAAAGACTATAGTAAGATCTGGAAAAGTCATGCTAAGCTGAGGCTTGTGCACAACAAGTAAAAATCCAAAATCCTGATGCTGCAAGCTATCTATTGTTCCTGAAGAAACCATGAGATATCCCATCAGTATATCTGCCACCCATAGGAATCTCAAGCTGGCTCCCAAGTATTTGGGTTACTCCCTAATCTTAAGTGTTTCCTGATTATCAATCAGTTTCCTGAGATGGTCCAAACCAGATAACCCCTTGTCAATAGAAAAGACAATGATTTACACTACTGAGGGTGCTACGGAGCAGCTGAACTGAGGGTATAAAAATCTGTAAGTGTGTGTGCTGCTAGAGGGAGAAGAGGAAGAGGAAAAGGAAGGAAAAGAAGTAGAAGCAGGAGGAAAGAAGGAGAAGAAGAAAACCCCTGTGCTGACACCATCCCCTGTCGTTCTTGGGACGCTGGAAGAACAGATCATCTCTCCCTTCAAGGACTGTGCTACAGACTGTGCCTGTCAGCTTTGCAGCCTGAGTACCGTGGACTAGGTGAGATCCCAGCGTTCTCTGTCTTCTTTCTAGGCATAAACTTCTGAACCTGAACTGTATCAGTTAAGCTTGAGCTAAGTTTCCCCAAATACTTAGTGAAACCAGGGTAGTATTGTCATTGTTGGTGTTTGTTTTTCTTTTGCATGTCTATTACTACTAGTACTATTATATATTTCATATGCTTAGCAATAAATAACTTTTATAGTCAAACTGGTAGTAATTGGGTATATTTTTCCTTCTCTGCTTCTCTTTCCTCCCGTGCTCTGCAGCAACGCTTCTTTTACCTATGCTAAAGATCCCTGTGAAGCCCAAATTATTGTGGGGTCTGCTCATCAAGAGGCCAAAGATTGGGACGTGCTGAGTTTGAAACACATAAGGGGATCAGCTTGTACAGGCTGATTGACCCAGTTTGACTCAGACGTGCCCTTATGAACTGAATGCTGGCCCATGAGGGTGTCAGCTGGACACCCAGCCGGATTCAGAGGGATTCTGTTTACCTGTGTGCTTGTGTCTGACTGCATTTTATTGTTGCTCTTATGAACTGATTCTTGGCATATGAGGGTGTCAGCCTGTCCATGCTGATCAGCCCGGCCAGGTCAGGCGTGTCACGTTAATTTGTGTGTGTTTGTGTGTATGACTGATTTGGTGACTGGAGGAACCCAGTCCCATTGAGATTGAGTCCTGCAAGATAGCTCCACTGGGGGTCAGGGCTTGCAGAAGGGAGAGATACAGCTCCGTATAGTAACACAAGCAGCACATTGACAGAATCACCAAGACCCTAGAAACTATCCCTAATAAATGAGCACACTCCAAAGTAATGGGCAGATTTGGTAACAGTACTGCAAAAACTTTATATTTAATCTGTTATGCTCTTTCTGCCAATATGAGGCACTTTTTAATTTTAAATAAGTAAAGAAAAATAGAAGTAAAAATAGAAGCAAAATACCACCCAATGAAAAAAGATGCAATAATAGTTTACTATGTATGCCTTAATTAAATTATGAAAAGCACATTCTTCTAAATAATAAAGTGCGTACTAAAACTGAATGGATATAGCTGTTAATTGTCTTCTCCATTACAAAGACAGAGCTAATGCCATGATTTGAGACAAATAGTACTTAACCTCCTGAACCTTGGATGGAGAGAGAGAT